ATTATAAAATCTCTGGACACCAATCATAAATTGATTATGTTGAACCTCTTTAACGCCTGCTTCTCACAAGGAATTTATCCCTGGAACGTCAGCATTATATCTCCACTTCATAAAAAGGGAAATAAATCGGATCCTGATAACTACCGTGCAGTTGCTGTCAGCAGTGTCATAGGAAAACTCTTCTCAACTATTCTCTTAGAAAGACTCATTCACTTCCGTTCTGAAAACTGCCCTGATCCACCTAACCAACTAGGCTTCACAAAGAAAGCTCAAACATACGATCACATACTAACCATGAAAACTATAGCATCAAAATATAAACTTTTGGGGAAACCTGTATATGCAGTATTTGTTGATTTTAAAAAAGCATTCGACTCAGTCTGCCGTCAAGCCCTTTTCCTCAAACTCGCAAAAAATGGCATAACTGGAAACTTCTACAATGTCCTCAAAAATATGTACTCAAACTCGTACGCTTACATAAAATTATCTGGTCATCTCAGTAAACGCTTTCAGATACGTAAAGGTACAGAACAAGGTCACCCACTCTCACCTGACCTTTTTAAAGTTTTTCTCAGTGATATGTCCTGCCTCCTAGATTTTCCAAATTGCCCCGTACTTTCAAATATTACTGTTAGCCACCTGCTGTGGGCGGATGACCTTATACTCCTTTCACTCGACCAGGAAACCACCCAAATGCAACTTAATATTCTCGGTAATTTTTGTAAGGAGTGGGGCCGGGGCATTGAAATCAATGAACTCAAAACTCAAGCAGTCATCTTTGGTAAGAAAGCGTTAAAACAGGACGTACAAAACATAAAATTTACACTCAACGGATCTAATCTTGAAATTGTTGACAGTTATTGTTACCTTGGATTTGAACTTCATCAATCGGGTCAAGTGCAGATCGCTCAACAAAACCTTAAAACCAAAGCAATGCGTGCATTTTTTGGCCTGAAAAGGGTTGTCATGCGTTCAAAGTTATCTTTTAAAGCACTCCTTACACTGTTCGACTCTCTCATCAAGCCCATTTTATTATATGGTGCTCCAATATGGACACCCACTAGTACGATCAACAAATCTCTCTGCAAAACGATTAACTCGACAGAAGCAACCGCTACTAACTTACTTAAAAAAATCAGCGCCTCTCTGCAAGAAAGAGTGCATATTTCATTCCTAAAATGGGCATTGGGAGTCCATCGTAAAGCATCAAATGTAGGTGTATGGGGAGAAACAGGGAGAATTCCTCTGATTTATCAATCAATTCGCTTAACATTAAATTACTTCAAAAGGCTAAATACAAAATCAAAGTCGAATTCGTTTGTTACTGCAGCCGTAAAAGAACAAAAATCACTAAACTTACCTTGGTATCGATACATAAAACCACTCCTTGAACTAGATGAAATTTACAAACTAGATCACGTAACCGCGCACCGAATTCTCAATACAAATGCAGCCAACAAAGCCAAGCCCAACCCTGTAAGTGATCACAAATTTTTAAAAGACTCCCTCAAAAATCAGTCAAATTTCAGTCAATGTATCGAACCACTATGCAGCAAAAAGTATAGAATTCCTAACATCATCGAAGCTCTAACCAATCAATTCAAAAAATGTTGGGAATATCAGAAATCTACTTCTTCCAAACTCTCATTCTATCACTCAATCAAACACACCTTTAAACGAGAGCCCTACTTACACTTATGCAAAGGCTTCTCTCGTCGTTATAGCACCACAAAACTTAGAATCAGCGCCCATGATCTCCATATTGAAAAAGGCAGATACTCCAACACACCCCGTGAGCAAAGACTATGTGCGTGGTGTCAATCAAGTATGGGCGTCGAGACAATCGAAGACGAGTCACATGTTCTTTACATATGTGACTTGTATTCAAAACAGAGGTCGAAATTAGTCAAAAATCTCTCTCAAATGCCACTCATTGAAATAAGCACTGAAATCACTGACTCAAGCAATATCAATGAAACAAATCTCAAAGTCCATCTTATGGAAATTTTGTCTCCTAACTCAACTGTAATTCCTCAAAATCACCAGAGCCTCCATATTCACTGCCACCGTTCACTTAATATTCAACCAAACACCCCACAGTATATTCAATTTCAAGAAAGGCGCTCCTATGCTGTCAATTGTGTGTGCACTTATTTCCTTCGCTGCTCCGAAGAGCGAAATAGCTTCGCCGAAGATATGCGTCAACGTAATTCAAATGCACGAAACTTAAACAATTTTACTATCAATTTGGTGAGAACCTCGCGAATTAGTCATAATTAAGATTTAAGGATAACCCTGGCCCTGACTTCAAGGAAAGATGAATGTTTTCATTAATCTCTGTACAATTATGACGGTCCATGATAATGGATCTATAATTTAATTTTAATCCTGTGTAATCCTGTGTAATCCTGTGTAGACCACCGCTACCTAGAGTACACCGCTACCTAGAGTTAGACCACCGCTACCTTGTCACTTGTACCTAGACACCGCTTACCTCACAGTCATACCTAGCTACATCGCTAAAGCTTAGAATTTCGTCATTTCTATGCACTTTGACTTATTATATCACTAAGGAATACAAGGAATACAATACAATTTACTAAAAAGAAGAAGAGAGATTTTGAAAATAAACATTCCGTTTACAGTCCCTTTTACATTGTACTTACACTTATAGCCTGGGGTATGTGACTTTTGTGCGCCGCGTTACTTACGTACACGTGCAATTGAGTGTCGTTTATGCGCAACCTTGTACTGTCCCTTTGGTTTATTTCGTCGCGAGCACGTAATGAATCGTTGTTGATGCTAGAAACTCAATTATATTTCAAGCTTCCGTATCTGACACATCTATGTGCTGTATTTTATTTTGTTCTGTTATTTCGACTACTTCAAAAAGGAGGAACTCTAATTCAGTACCACCGTATTGAGGAATCACCGAATCATAACACATGAAATAATTTGGCTTCCAAGGTGTTGATTGAGGATAACCCCTGCAGTACATACCTCAGGACAGTATTAGAATGACAAAGCTCGTAAAGACATTAACATCGGACAAATTCTTCGTTTTAGTGACTTTTTCTACTATGATCTGTTATGGAATGTTTTGGACCATTCCAGGGTCCTTGATTTATGAAATCAAGACTAACATCAATGAAGGACTTCAGGTCTTCGGATATCTTATGATGATTTTGAGACTTGGTAAAACAGTAGGACACCTGATAGCTATTAAAGTCTGTGGTAGCGTAAAACCTACCAACTATCCCGATATCCATTTAGTTAGCATGGCTATCCAGTGTTTGGGTGTTGTTTTTATGCCGTTTTGTACAAGCTGGGCTCTCTTAGCAATCTGTTGGAGCATTATTGGAATGACGTTAGGTGTCGTCGAAACAAACAATGTTTTCTTAAATGAAGCCGTGAACCACAAATCTGCTCCGAAATACACCAACTTCTATTATTTTGCATTTTCATTAGGAGCTTCTTTGACCCCTCCTCTAGTTGATGGAACCAAACGGGTTATCGATAACCCTAAATTAGAGCTCATCGCGGTTTGCGGAATTGTCGGAGGGATGAATTTCATCATGAACTTTTTCATAGCAACAATTCTCAAACTGAGGCGAGATCGTGGAATAACAGTAGGGGAAGCAGCGGAGTTCGTACAAAAGAACCCTAGATCGTTCCGATTTCCGATAATAAGCAACATCAGCCTGACCTTAACTGCTAGCTTGTTTATGTGCGGAAGGACTATTATGGAGTTATTTTTACTCCCATATGCTCAATATGCTGATGCTAACTTGTCTGAGGAAACATCATACTCTCTGGTTCAGACTGTTTTCATTTCTTCTATGATAATCCGATTGGCTGGAGTATTCTTTTCTCCCTGGCTCAACAAAAGAATAAACACGTGGCTTATGATATTTTGGAATTTTGCGTTGGTTCTAGGAATCATATCTATGTTTACATTTCAAGACCGCTCGTTTGCCGGACTGATCGTGACATTGATAATCTACGGTCTGGTATTCGGATCGTATCAGAACACTCTGCTAAATTGGATGACAGATAGACTTGCTGTAAACCCCTGGAACACGGCACCTTTCTTTTTCGGCAGCTGCTTTGGAAGCAGTATAACTCCAGCAGTTATCCCTCATCTTATAAAGAACGCAGATGGAAGTATTAACGTCGACAACTTTCAAACAATCTTGAAAGTTGTTTTCTCCCTCACGGTTACTTTTTGTGGATTATTGATGGTGGCTGAGTTTCTCGCAGAAAAAGCTGAATTAAATACCGTTTCTACAGTAGAAGTAATCAACCTGATGCCGGTTAAGAAAACTCGATTTAACAGCTTTAACAGTGAGTCTTTAGGTAGTTTAATGGCATTAAACGCGACCGAATCCTCTTCACCGGACTCAATTGTAGAAAAACCAGGAGCGAGTAAAAGTTTGCTTTCTATTCTAAGCAGGCGGCTAAGTCAGTCGAAAACTGTTAGCAGTTTGGGTCATTACACTCCGATGATTTAATTTGGTTAATTAAACATTTTGACTTCGTATCGATAGGGTCAACAAATATCGATAGGGTCAACAAAAATCATGAGTTGAATACCATTAATGGTATTCAACTCATGATTCTTGTTGACCCTATCGATACTTGTTGACCCTATCGATACGAAGTCAAAATGTATCTTTACTTCGCTCGAAGTTATGGTGTAATTTGTATTATTATTATTATGATATTTATGTTCTAAATGGTCTTGGGGGATGAAATTTTTTGTTGGGTGATGTAATATTATGATTAATATACTTTCCATTTCAGTATCATCACCATTTTATTGAATGGAAATCAATTCAACAATCTATAACGATCAAATTTAATTGAAATAGTCATATATCCTGTTATTTCACTTGAAAATTCACTAGCGTCGAGAGATTCAGCAACCTAATTCTTATCATAATCATTTTCTTATCGCTTCCAAATTCTTATTTCTACCAATATCAATGTCAATCAGAATATGACGGACCGCACGGTCTCTTTTCACGATCTACCTGGGGTGCCAGAAGATGCCATCATAGCTATAACCTCAAATGAACCTACGCCAGAAGATCCTCTTCACGTGCGACATCTGAAAAGAATTGCCGCTAGGAGTGTCCAGGTAAACATTTTTGACCGAATGAAAACGTTTTCAGTATCACCGTATTATTTTATTTCTTAATTTAAAGACAAATAGATGTCTTCTATAATAACATTAACATCCAGATGAAATTTTCTGTGAATCGAAATCACCATTGCATTTTATAATCAATAATCTTATTTTTCAGAGAAGTTTTAAGTCAAGACGCTCGTCGCGAAGCCTAATTTCACCTTTGCGCGATTCTTTAAAATCAAACAAAAGTGATGACTCTAACGAGAGTACAGCCCAATCTATATCGTCAAGGTTAATTATTTTTACGAGAAGATAAATGCTGTGAACATATTTCCAATACTGCAGTGGATCTAAATTGACAGATGCTTTTGATGAACACAACGTCTGAAGGTGAAACTATATTTTCAGAACAACTCACACTATGGGTTCTAGCCATTCTTCATCAGACTCACGATCATCCAACGATGAGAATCATCCCTGGATCTTTAGGGACACAACCTTTGCTTACCTCGCTATACTCTCTGCCACTGGATTCGCAATATTTTGGGTGACTCAGGCTCTCTTTATCGAGGATCTTATGCAGCTCACAGGTTTAAGGGGAGATACACCAAAAACGTTTTTGCTCCGAACATCGATTTTTATTTTATATTATGGTTAAATAGACAAAAAGAATAAGATTGCACACCTTCAAAATTTTCTAAAAATATTCCCTCATCGCATCGAGAAAAAAAATATTTTTCTTTTTCGAAAATTTTTAAAATTTTGAGAAGTCTGTCACTGTAATACCGATAGTTCGGCCATTTTAACAGTTTTTTGGCTGATTTTTTTACTGAACATTACTTACAATCCGTACAAGAAGCCATTGAAAGGATTATATAATTGAACGATAAATAACGAAGTTACAGACCAAACAAGGTCGAAAAAATAAAAATTGAAATTTTTCCCACTTCTAAAGTTGTACATTTCACCAATCACCCGGGTCAGCAGATATCGCTTCAAAAATTCTTGTGAGTGTAGCTGATGATCATATCAAACTTTTTGGAGTAGGATTTCTCTCAGATTTGATTTCTAATCTATGTAATGTGGCCTCAAACGACTTAGTAAAATTCATCGTAAAAAAGGGCAAAAAAGGCAGATTTAAGGCTTAAAATGCCTATTACTCAAAAAGGATCAGTTTTTTTGAGATAATTTTTACAGAATCGTAATCAGCTTGGTAAGACGAATCTTTTAGTACCAAATAGGTGCTTTTAGAAGACAAATTGTCTTAAATAATTTTCTAGCTCGAACACAAGGAAGGGTCCCTTGTATAAATTTTGTACAAATTGTACACATTTTTTTACAAATTTTGTGTCTTTAAATATTATAAATGTCGTATTAAAAGATTCGTCTTACCAAGCTGATTACGATTCTGTAAAAATTATCTCAAAAAAACTGATCCTTTTTGAGTAATAGGCATTTTAAGCCTTAAATCTGCCTTTTTTGCCCTTTTTTACGATGAATTTTACTAAGTCGTTTGAGGCCACATTGCATAGATTAAAACTCAAATCTGAGAGAAATCCTACTCCAAAAAGTTTGATATGATCATCAGCTACACTCACAAGAATTTTTGAAGCGATATCTGCTGACCCGGGTGATTGGTGAAATGTACAACTTTAGAAGTGGGAAAAATTTCAATTTTTATTTTTTCGACCTTGTTTGGTCTGTAACTTCGTTATTTATCGTTCAATTATATAATCCTTTCAATGGCTTCTTGTACGGATTGTAAGTAATGTTCAGTAAAAAAATCAGCCAAAAAACTGTTAAAATGGCCGAACTATCGGTATTACAGTGACAGACTTCTCAAAATTTTAAAAATTTTCGAAAAAGAAAAATATTTTTTTTCTCGATGCGATGAGGGAATATTTTTAGAAAATTTTGAAGGTGTGCAATCTTATTCTTTTTGTCTATTTAACCATAATATAAAATAAAAATCGATGTTCGGAGCAAAAACGTTTTTGGTGTATCTCCCCTTAATGAAGCTTTATGAAGTATCATCTATCATTTTCTAATATACATAAATATAACATATATGTTTCTTTTCAAAATGCTGTCAACAGTCCAGCGATAATTCAGTCTGGTAACGATTCGGCCATTTAGTATTTACAAACAAGCCCTTTTTTCGTTCAGGGATAAGTCTGGTAGTGATAGGGTTTATGTTCGCGTGTGTTCGGATTGGCAAAGTAGCGGGACACTTGTTGACTGTGCCACTTACCACATTCTTCCCCAACAGTATCGTTCAAATGACAATTTCTGGTCTCATTTTATTCTCGTAAGTATTTCAATGCACTCAATTGAACTTGTGGGTCGTGACTAATTCAAAAGGTGGTTTTCGCGTTCTGTTTTGTGATGCACGTTTTCTATAAGTGCAGTACTTAGTATACATTTTACCGATGTATCATCAAATATTCGAGAGAATGAAAAAATCACCTCACAGGGTCATGATAGTTTTGGTTCCCTTTATCACTTCACCCTACCTGCTGGGATTAATTCTCTTCTTGCTGGGTGTTACTTACGGCGTTGTGGATTCGTGCACCGTACTAATAATCCAGGTTTACACCTATTTTACATATTGAAAACTCACAATAAAAGAGACACAAATAAAGAGCACCAGGATTTGTTGGCGCCCTAATCTGTTCAGCATCTTTGGCCCACTCCCCACCCCACTCCAAAATCCAAATCACAAAAATCATTGCCCAGATGCTACATAATTCTGAGAGAGCGTATTTCACGAACCTTTATTACGCAACCAGTTCGGTAGCGAGTTTCAGCTACAGCCTCCTCGCAGCATACATCAAATCTCATCACTCCGAGTCCAAGGATAGACTTATTTGGGCTAATTTCATAAACTCTGGGGTAGCAACAATAACTGCGCTCATGATTCTTACATTGTACATTATCAGGTTCGTTATAATCATATTTTTAATCATCCTCACCTTTCCATTCGCCTTTTCGCTTCGTTTATACTTTATTTGACCAAAACCCATAATCATGGGTAGAGTGAACCGCTGCCAGTGTCTCTCTTTTACAAGCTTTATTACAATTCGTAAGCCGTGAATGAATGGGAAAAGCGAGCGACCGATTTCATTCTCGGTATCAATTTGAATTTGCGGACGGTTCCTCAAATTAATATCATTTCCTCATTCAAGTTGGCATTAAATTCATATAGTCGTGAAAATAACAATTTTCAGTGATTTTAGCAATTTTAAATCAATTTGGACGTGTCCCCACGTGTGCAGCTATTCGATTTTCAACTTTAAAACTAGCCTATAACACAATTTAGATTTTAGACCTTTGGGAAGCAAAATTGAGCTCCACAACCCAAGGGATGCCCCAACACCAGAGAATACTAATTCACAACTTTTGTGTTTTTATAAAATTATTCTTCAAAAAAGCATTAACTTCAATAGCGAATATCTTTATGAAGCAGCAAGGTAGGAACATTTTCCGGTAGATTTTCAGAATGCTTGAACAATTATCTAAGGTAAAACGTCCTCAGATTTTGAATAAAATTACTCCTTAATGGTGTAAAATCGATTTGAAAAGTTGTTATTTTTAACATGGTTTTTAAGGCACCTGAATATGGCGATTTTGGGTTTTTTTACCTAATTTCGTATAACATGCTGGCGCGTATTTTGCGCAAATTTCTTAAAAACCTCCACATTACCACGTAGCTATTTCTTATTCCTGTCATCTTTAACATTGATTTACAATGTTTTGAATTTGAACTTAAATATACCTGCTGAACTACTTTCGATGAGTCTTAATGCCTGAAATACAATAAAGGGGATATAATAGTATAGGGGGTAAATAGTATTGTGAATATAATGGCAACGGTAATGCTTGCCAGCATTGTGATTGACCGTCACGTAGAATGTAACAATCACTTTACGGTCTCGTGATCTCGTCACTATTAAGCGAATTCCTTTTTCCCAGAGAGAAACACAAGTATTACTTAATCAATGAAGTAGTAGTTCTGCAACCTCTCAAGTTCAAAGGTTTTCGCCACTATTTATTCAGGTGAGTTCTTAATGAGATGTGGAAAGTATCGTACTTTAGTAATTGAGTGCAGTATTGCTCCAATTATTCTGGCAACCTTGATCTAATTTCGATTAAATATTTGAACAATTGTCAATACATTTAATGGGTGGGTCGAATGTCTAAGAATTTAAGTGATCCTTGATAAAGGATATAAATTAAACTAAAATACTCAACAGTTTCCTTTTATTATCCTGGTCTGCTTTCTCCAGTACCTACTGTCTCTCTGCCTTCTGGAATTTCATTTTACTCGTTCTCCAGAACTCGACTCAACTTGACTCTAAACAAATATTCATTCTGATAGAGGTTAGCTTGCTTTATTTTTTCATAAAGTAGATATTTTAAAAACTAGCTTAAAGACTAGTCATGGTCATGATGGCGAAAATAAAGTCACGCGATGTTTTAGAAAACAAATACTAACACCATCTATAATAGCGTTCTCATTAAGAATAAAAATGACTCACAGGCGTTTCACGGGAGCTTGCTGTTTGCAAGGATATTGGCAGTACCAGTAGTGGTGTTTTACGAGAATAAGACCGTTGTGGTGGGAGCTTGCAACGCTATTCTAGTCAGTGCTGCTATTTGTGCAGTGTTTTTGCGAGACAGGATGTTCGAGGGTCTTCTTATCATCCTCCTTTTCTACGGGATGGGTTAGTCTTACTACTCTTACTAGTCTTACAAACCCCTCAAAAATCATCATTTGTAAAGAGTTCCTTGTTATTGAAGCACAATTTTCTTCTCTTTTTAGTTTTTGTTAAAATCTTATTCTTAACAAAACAGTAGTTACATAAACTATCGTTCCATTGATTACAAGAATGACTATCATATTTGCAAGAACACAAAATTATGGATTGCACTGTACTCACAGGTTTGGGATTGTTTCACCAGTCTTTACTAAACTGGCTCACGGACCACATCATAATCACTCCTAAAACCAGTCTCCCCTTCTTTCTCGCCTCTACGTCAGGTAATTTAGGTACGAAACTGTCATCCGAGTCTAAGGGCTGTCTATCTGCCATCTCTTCTGATTCGTTTGTAATATTACATATTTTGTAATACACGTTGTATGTTTGTCAGTATAACTATAAGTCATGATTCTTCTCTGCAAAATATATAGCCGCCCCCTTCTAATCTTTTTGACTGAAACTTTCCCTTAGGTGTGGTGCTGGCACCGATGACAGTTCCTCACTTAATCACCGGAGAGTTAGGTAACAAACTGTTAAATCACTACTGTAACTACCAATGTACCATGTCCAACTCACAATGGAACTTGGACAGCTGAATGAAAAAGTGCGCCTTCAATCGCACCTCATTTGAATCAAAATACAGGTTGAAAACAGCCCAAGCCTTGAACCCCTCCTTCCAACAGGTATGGTCGAACCGATACGGTTCATTTGGTTGGTTTTCAGTTTCAGCCTCTCGACAGCTGTAGCTGCCTCCATCCTTATTTTCATAGAACAGCTGAAATCAGACACAGAAGTTCAAGAGATACAGATAATGCCTTCAGTTATCAAATTGTCCCAGCACAGTTTCTCCACTGTGGCCCAGTCCCAGTTTCCGGACACTCCGGACGGGAAACATGATGGAGGAAGCTGGAGTAGACTCAGCAAATTAAGCACTTACACTCAAAAACTTGATCCAACTCTATCATTTGTTTCTTCCATGACCTAGATTTTTTATCAATTTACTCCACTCACCATAATATGTCATTCAATTATATCAATTATTTTATTACATTAATTATTATTATATCAATCATATTAATATTTTATTTGGTAGCAGCATTAAATTGTTAAATTGTTGATAATTCTTGAAGTTTACAAAATTGGAGAGAGTTCTCTCCTTTTTTTACTTGATTTGTAGTTGAATTTTGCAATCCTTTGTATATAGTACATAGTTATATGACTTTTTATTGACACGTGTATTATTAATACACCCGTTTTTCTTGCTAGTCACACCAAGAGTATCTTCTGTATTAACCCGCATAACCAGTGTTACTATGGTAACAGATAGAAGTCCCGTTGAGTGAGAGGGCGCCCCGAAGGGCAGTACTACTCGAGTAAAAGTTGGCTATATACCCTCTTTCGTTATAAAATATTTACTTGTATTTTGTAGCGCTGTATACAAGGAAGTGGTGTTTCTATGGTAACAATGGCGTGGTTAAGTCGCGTGGTGCCGCTATTACTGGATTATGAGTAGATAGATTTGTGAAACTGGCTCTACTAATAACTAACGGTGAAGTTAACGGTGTGATACCAAGTTCAGAAGTTGGAACTTACGACTTCAAAGAAGGGTTCCATTAGATTACGCAATTAAATGTCTCATAACAGACGCATGTGCTAGCAGTGAATTATTGTACATACAATCAATTTCCTTGTTCCAAGTGTTGCCCGGTGTTTAATGTTTAAGGAGTACATTATACAATACATTATGTACAATTCACATCCGAAAACTTGGTCAACCTCCCGCATTTTGTATCGTTTAGAACACGACTCTTTGAAATATTTCCGTTGATGATTCCGATTCTTTAAAATATACATGTAATTAATCTCTTTTTCAAGCATCAAGGCAACTCGGCATTTGCGATGAAAAGCATACCTATAAGTTATAACATTACAGAAGAAAACATTATCTCAGTAAAAATTCCGTTTATAAAATTTACAATTACAGCAACATAAAATCCAATTTGAAACAAAACAGTCTGAATGAAAGTTCTCTGATGTAGGTTACCTAGGTCAGGTAGGTTTGAAACAAACAAATTATAAAGAAATAAAGCGCCGCAGACCATTAATTAATGATCCCGTCAGAGTATGAACGGCGAATAGGCTTACATTTAAATTCAAAATTAAGGTCAATTTTCCCCGGTAGTGCAATAAATCGAATCAATCACGCTTTATTGTTGATTGTTATCAATATACTATATAGGGACTATTATGAAAATCACGACTCATGTTCAATTTCTGGTGCTATCAAAAAGGGTCAGTTGGAGTTGAGGAATTAAAAAGAGCGAGATAGTTCCTCACGACAAAGGTTTCCTTTGAGTGAACATGATACAGAAGACGTTTCCTTGAAATGTGTATGCGATTTTGTATGCGATTTGCGCGTCGCACGTACGTTACAATATTTTTAATTGTAGAATTTACGAGGATAAGATTTTAGAAGTCTCACTAAACTGCTCGTATTTAGAGATACTACGATATGATCCACTCAAGTAGCACCTTAAACCCGACTTGGAACCACATCCACGTGTCGAACCAACCCCAGAAATGTTATAATTCAAGTCAAAAATCTTTACTCTGCCCTATATGCAATTTGTGTTCCGGGGTATGTAGCACATGGTTTCATTGGTAAAATAAATAGTATCTGTCCCAAAACCATCCATAAAACCAAGTTTCGACCCCTCAAACCACTCAGGTCACTCCAAGGGGCCACGCCCATCCCAAAATTTGGCGGGAAATTTCCAGGTCAAACCCCTTACCCCCCGGGATCGAATCTTTCCCCCAGTAGGCGTTTTCTTTTCCCCGGGGGTAGGGGGCCCATGTTTTGGTAAAAAAGGGGAAATTTCCCCCCCACCCAAAAACCCATCTTAAAAACCCCAAGTTTCGATTTTCTCAACCCACCCGGGGGCCACCCCCATCCCAAAATAGCTAAACCCAGGTCAACCCAAAAAACACTTTCCAAAAACTGAAAAATTTTTCCCCCCGTTTGCAAATTTATTTTTCCGGGGTGGGGGGCCCATTTTTTTAGTAAAAAAAATTTTTTACTCCCTTTCCCCAAAACCATCAAAAAAAACCAATTTTCCCGAAACTTTAAACCATGGGCCCCAATCCGGGGGCCACGCCATCCAAAAATAGCTGAAATCCGGGTTTTAAAAATAAAGTTTAAAAAACTTTACCCCCGAACCCGATTTATTTTCCCGGGGCTAGGGGGGGGCCCTGTTTTGTATAAAAAGGGGTTTTATCCCCTACCCCAAAACCAAAAAAAAAACCCCAAGTTTCAAACCTCTCCAAACCACTCGGGCCCCACCCCCGGGGGGCCCACCCCCACCCCCAAATAGCTAAAATCCATTTTAAAAATCCATACAAACCGGGACTGGGGGAATCTTTCCCCCGTATGCTTTTTATTTTCCGGGGTTTTTAAGGTGGGGGCCCAGGTTTTATTTAAAAAAAATGGGTATGCCAAACCCAAACCTTTCTTAAAAAACCCAAAGTTTGGACCTTTTAAAACCACTCGGGGGCCAAACTCCCAAAAAAGGGGAAAAAACGCCCAAAATTCCCCCCAAAACCCCTCCCCAAAATTCAATTTTTAATTCCCCCCCCCAAAAAAAATTTGAAAATTTCTTTACCCCCGTGGGCGATTTTTTTCCCGGGGTAGGGGGCCAGTTTTATTTAAAAAAATGGGTTTGCCTACCCCAAAAACCCATCAAAAAACCCAAGTTTAAACCTTCAACCCACCGGGGCCACCCCCGGGGGCCAGGCCCAAACCCCAAAATTATAGTTTGAAATCCAGGGTTAAAACCGATTAAAAATTTCTTTACCCCGTATCCCGATTTATGTTCCGGGGTAGGGGGCCCCCATGTTTTTGTATAAAAAGGGGGTTAAAACTGCCTACCCCAAACCACCCAAAAAAACCCAAAGTTTGGGAAACCCCCCAACCCACTCGGGCCCCAAACCCAGGGGCCAACCCATTCAAAATAGCTAAAACCCGGGTAAGTCAAGATTGAAAATTCTTTCCCCCCCGTAGCGGATTTTATGTTCAGGGGGGGGGTTTTTCCCATTTGGTTCATATAAAAAATGGGTACTGCTTACCCCAAAACCATCAAAAAAAACCAAGTTTCGACCTCTAACCCCACTCCACCCCCACTCCCAGGGGCCACGCCCACCCCAAAAAATAGCTGAAACCCGGTAAAACCCGGGATTAAAATTCTTACCCCCGTATGCGTTTATTTTGGGGGGTTTGGGGGCCCCATGTTTTAGTAAAAAAAAGGGTACCCTATCCCAAATCACCAAAAAAAAAAAACAATTTTCGACCTCTAAAACCCCACCAGGCCACCCCCAGGGGCCACGCCCATCCCAAAATGCTGAACCCGGGTTTAAATTTCCCATCCAAATCCGGGACTGAGAATCTTTACCCCGTATGCGATTTATTTTCCCGGGGGTAGGTGGCCCATGTTTTAGTATAAAAATGGGAATGCCTATCCCAAAACCTCATAAAAACCAAGTTTGGCCCTTTCTAAAAACCACTAGGCACTCCGGGGGGCCCGCCCATCCCAAAATAGCTAAAAAATTCGGGAAAAAAATCAAGATGAAATTCTTTACCCCCTTTATGCGATTTTGTTCGGGGTAGGGGCCCATGTTTTAGTTAAAATGTGTACTGCTATCCCAAACCATCATAAAAACCAATTTTTCGACCTTAAAACCCAAAAAATAAAGCCACTCCCGGGGGCCCCCCCACCCCAAAAATAGCTAAAATTCCGGTAAATTTCCCCAAAAAAACCCGGGAGGGAGAATCTTTCCCCCCGTAGCGATTTATGTTCCGGGGGGGGGGTTTGGGCCCATTTTTAGTATAAAAAATGGGTACTGCCTACCCAAAAACCCTCATAAAAAAAAATTTTCAAACCTCTCAACCCACTCGGGCCCAAAAACCCAGGGGCCACGCCCCCCCAAAATAGTGAAACCCGGTTTAAAATGGGATTAAAATTTTCCTTTCCCCCCGTATGCGATTTATGTTCCGGGGAAGGTGGCCATGTTTTAGTTTTAAAAATGGGAAATCCCTTTTCCCCAAATCACCCAAAAAAAAAACCCCAAGTTTCGCCCTCTCAAACCCAAAGGCCCCCCCCAAGGGGCACCCCCCCCCCCAAAATAGGGGAAAATCGGGTTTAAACCCCATAAAATTCCAAAATGGGTTTTCTTTACCCCGAAGCGAATTTTTTGTTGGGGTTTTTAAGGGGTTGGGGGCCCCATGTTTTAGTAAAAAAAATGGGAACTCCCTACCCCCAAACCAAAATAAAAAACCAAATTTTGGCCCTCCCCAAACCACTCAGGCCACCCCCGGGGGAAACCCCCCATCCCAAAATAGCTAAAAATTCAGGTGAAAATCAAGTTTTAAAAAATTTTTTCCCCCGTATGCGATTATTTTCCCGGGTAGGGGGGCCCCCAGGGTTTTGTACAAAAATGGGTACGGGCCTACCCCCCCAAACCATCATAAAAAAAAAAAGTTTCGACCTTTAACCCCACTCGGGCCCCCATCCCAGGGGCCCGCCCATCCCAAAATAGCGGAAATTTCCAGGTAAAATCAAGATTAAAAATTTCTTTCCCCCGTATGCGATTTATTTTTCGGGGTAGGGGGCCCCAGGGTTTTAGTATAAAAAGGGGTTTACTCCCTTTATCCCAAACTATCTAAAACCAAGTTTCGACCCTAAACCCACTCAGGCACCCCCCGGGGGGCCCCGCCACCCCAAATAGCAAAAAATCCGGGTTTTAAATTTCAAGATTGAAAATTCTTTCCCCCGGGATGCGTTTTTAGGGTTCCCGGGGTAGGGGGCCCCGTTTTAGTAAAAAAATGGGTATGCCTATCCAAAACCATTTTAAAAACCCAAATTTTTCCGACCCCTAAACCCCCTCGGTCCCCCAAGGGGCCCCAAAAGAATCCCAAAAATGGGGCTGAAACCCGGTCAAACCCCCTTAAAATCCGGACTGAGAACTTTCCCCCGTTTGTGTTTATGTTTCGGGGTAGGGGGGCCCCCTTTTTTATTTAAAAAGGGGGTTTACTGTTTATCCCCAAAACCACCCTAAAAAAAGTTTTCGACCTTAAAACCCCACTCAGGCAATTCCCGGGGCCCCACGCCCATCCCAAAATAGCTAAAAATCAGGTAAAATTTCCAATTAAATCCAGCTGACAATCTTTTCCCCCCGTATGCGATTTATTTTTCCCGGGGGTGGGGGCCCCATTTTTTTTATTATAAAAGGGGTATTTGCCTATCTAAAAACCACAAAAAAACCAAGTTTCGACCTTCCAACCCAAATCCGGGCCCCCTTTTCCCGGGGGCCAACGCCCACCCCAAAATAGCGAAATCCGGGTAAAATCAAAAATTAAAAAATCTTTTATTTTCCGTTGCGATTTATTTTTCAGGGGTAGGTGGCCCATTTTTTTAGTATAAAAATGGGTACTGCTTTTCCCAAACCCCTTAAAAAAACCAATTTTCCCGACCTCTAAAACCCAAACTCAGGCCCACTATGGGGGCCACCCCCCATCCCAAAAAAGCTGAATCCAGGTCAAACCCCTTTACAAACCCCGATGAGAATCTTTACCCCCGTTTTGTGTTTTAATGTTTTTTTGGGGTAGGGGGCCCCATTTTTTAAATTAAAAAATGGGTACTGCCTACCCCAAAACCCACCAAAAAAAACCCAAAGTTTCTCCCCTTCAAATATGGCCCCACCCCCTGGGGGTTCACGCCTAACCCCAAGAAAACTAAAAGGGGGGGGTTTCCCAAAAAAGTTAGGGTTACCTTTAGGGTTGGGGGTTTTTTTCCACCCCCGGGTTTTAAATTTATGGACCTGTAATTTGCTGATGGCAGGGTTTGAAAACTTTTCTTGGGGGGATTCCGTCCCCAAAAATGTTTAAAAATTCGATTTTCAGCCCACGCCCCATAAAATATCAAACCCCCTGAATTGTTTTTTCCCGGACATGTTTGACCCCCATTTTTTCGATTATTTTGATTTTAAATTTTCATCCCATCTGTTTTGAAAAATTTGGCCAAACGGTTTTGAAATGGAAAAGGTTAACAAGCATTTTTTTAAATCTCTTTATAAAATTAAAGGGGGTGATTATGTAAATAGGACCCCTTTAATTTGGGGTTTTCCCCTTGCAATTTAACGGGAATTCACCAAATTTCACCTAAAAGGGTAATCCAACCCTGATCACAGTAATGAATAAAACCCGTTATGCCCAATACCCTTGTTTTTCCGGCCATTTGAAAGCTGGTTTAAATCTTTTAGAACAAACTTTTATTGGATGCCAAATCCCAATTCTTTTAAAATTTTGGCCCCCTTTT